AGAGCTAGAGATAGGAGACAGAGAGACACAGAGATACCAAGCCAGGGAAAGACAGAGTGAGATGGGGGAGAAAAGGGAGAGTAAAAAAGAGAAAGCGGTTGCTGAGGGAGACTGAGAGAAGGTTTGGGGAAGGAGACAGAGACACAGAGAAGGGGTGCAAGGAAGAGACTGATGAGACAGATGAGAGACAGGGAGAGACGGAGAAGGTGGAGGAGAGAGATGGAGAGAGTGACAGGGAGAAGGAGAGACAGAGACAGTAGAAGGGAGTTGAGGAGGGAGAGAAGGAGAGAGCTGAGGAGAGGGACACAGAAAAAGGGAGATAGAGACAGAGAAAGGCGGAGAGAGAGGGAGACAGAGGGAGACAGAAAGAAGGAGACAGAGAGAGAAAGGGAGACAGAGAGAGACAGAGAGGGAGAAGACGCGCAGAGCCTTGCGGTGGGGAGGTCGAGGAAGGAGCAGCCCCTCTCACCTGGCGTCGGTGGCAGCTGAACCCTGGGCCCGACCATGCGATTTAAGGGGTGCCCTGGGGGTGAGATCGCCCCCCCCACCCCGCCCCCGCCACCGCCTTATCTGGCCAGACCCGGCTCTGTGAGCTAAATCGGGCAGCAGCTGTCACCACCAGGGGGTGCAGGACAGCTGTCCCCTCCCCCTGCACCTGCCCGGCACCTGCCTCGTGACCACAGCCCCTCCCTCTCCCCTCCTGCAGCTCTCAGTGGCTGAGAGGCCACTGGCATCTACATGGGCACCCCAGCCCCCTCAGCTGCGGGACGGGCCTGGCTGGGTGCCCTGGGGTAAGCGGCAGTCCTGAGTCCCAAGGCGCTCCTGTGAGAAGAGGGGTCCCAGAGGAGGGGGCATGGGGCTCTGCACTGTGGGGCAGACAGTAAGTGCTTAGTTGGTGTGATGACCTGGTCGCCCTGCCCCCTCTCACCTGCCAGAATGTGGGGGTTAGGGCAGGAGGGAGTGGGAGCAGGAGGAGGTCAGCGGCCCTTCTCCCCCCCCACTCCCCCTCCCTGGGCTCCTCACTCCCGACCTTATTTGGCCATAACCCAGCACACACAAGGGGGCCACAGCCCCGCCTGTCACTCAGGCCAAGAATAGCAACACTCAGGCCCCCGCCAGGCTGTCTGGGACCTGTGATGGGACAGGCGACAGGCATGGGTGGCAGGGAGGGGCCAGGGGCCCAGGGAGAAGGGGAGAGACACAGAGAGACAGAGGGGAATGACTTGTGAGCTGAGGAGAGACTGAGAGACCTTGGAGAGACAGACCGCTAGCCAGATTAATAAAAAAGAGAAGGCAGGACAAACAAATAGATGCAACAAAAAATGACAGAGGGGATATCAGCACTGATCCCGCAGAAATACGGACCACCATCAGGGATGACCACAGACAGCGCTACTCACACACACCAGTAAACCAGGAAGAAATGGGTACATTCCTAGACACTGGTACTCCACCAAGACTAAACCAGGAGGAAGGTGAAACCCTGAATAGGCCAATAACACGGGCTGACGTAGAGGCAGCAATCGATAGCCTACCAACCAAAAACAGTCCAGGTCCAGACGGGTTCACAGCCGAATTCTACCAGACATACAAAGAGGAGCTGGTTCCATTCCTTCTGAAACTGTATCAATCAATACAAAAGGAGGGAATCCTCCCTAACTCATTTTATGAGACCAACATCATCCTGATACCAAAACCAGGCAGCCTCAACTAAAAAAGAAAACTTCAGGCCAACATCCATGATGAACATCGACGCAAAAATCTTCAATACAATACAAACAGATTGCAACAGCACATCGAGAAGCTTATCCATCAGGAACAAGTAGACTTCATCCCGGGGATGCAAGGCTGGTTCAACAGACGCAAATCCATAAATGTAATCCATCACATCAACGGAACCAAAGACAAAAACCACATGATTATCTCAATAGATGCAGAGAAGGCCTTCGATAAAATTCAACAGCGCTTCATGTTCTCAATAAACTAGGTATTGACGGAACATATCATAAAATGATAAAAGCTATGTATGAAAAACCTATAGCCACCCTGGAGTTGGGGTGTCCACACCCCCCAGCAGCATCCCCTCCCCTGCGGGCTTTTCACCTTACAGCCTGCCCTCTGACCTTGGGAAAACCTGCAGACCAGAGCGTGCCACACCCTGCTCCCTGCGTGGCCAGGGCTTTTGCGAGTACGTCCTACGGGGTGTCAGCTCCACCTTGCCAGGGTGTCACGGGCAGCCTGAACTGCCCGCCGTGGCACACGGGCCTGCTCCTGGAGGGACACAGCCCAAGTGGGGGAACCCCTGCCTCCCTGCGCCTGAGTCCCCCACTTCTGCAGGTGCCTAATGGGTGTCACCGGGTTTAGCCAGGCCCCTGGGCACCTTCCACTCACTCCTGCCTCCTCACCTCCCAGGGCCCCCCCAGGCCCAGACCCTCCTCTCCATCACCCTCAGGGGCCTGGCTCAAGCCCTGCCTCACCCCTCTAGACCCCTCCTATCCTCCCTGTGGGCCTCCTGGCCTCTAGTCCCCCCTCCATTCTGTCCCTACAGCCCCAGAGGGGTCTCTGCACGCAGAGCTGACCTGCCCCTCCCTGCTCGCAGCTCCAGGCTGCCCTGAGAGGTCTTGTCTGGTTGGGTTCCTGGCCAGAACCCACCCTCCTCCTTTGTCACCTCCTCAAATAACTCACCTCCTCAAATAACTCCGGTGATAAACAGCCGCAGCGTTCCAGGTCTCACAGGGTGACTTCCAATTCTGGAGCGCCCTCCCTGCACCGCCAGCCTCCGCAGAGCCCTCTGCAGTCTTCCGTGGCTGGTCTTGTCTCTCGCCCATTTTATGCAACCTGCTTGTCTCAGGGTTCCTTCTCTGTCCTCTGGTCCCTGTAGTGCCCCGTGGGGACCCCGTACAAGCCCCCACAGCTGGGATAGGAACGCTTGGTGTCCTCTTGGGTCTTCCCACTGGGTGGAAGCTGGGATGGTGGACAGACTCCGCCTGTCTGCACGGGTGTCCCTCCTCCGCTGTGGGGACCCTTGTGATGACACGGGGCCCACAGGGGATCCAGGACACTCTCCCGGTCTCAAGGTCAGCTGGCTGGCAGCCTCAGTCCCACCTGCCCTCACTTCCCCTTGACTGTGTAACACAGCATGTTCACAGGCTCTGGGGACTAGGACAGGGCATTCAAAAATTATATTTATTATTATTTTGAGACAGAATCTTGCTCTGTCACCCACGCTGGAGTGCAGTGGCGCGATCTCGGCTCACTGCAGCCTCCGCCTCCTGGGTTCTAGTGATTCTCCTGCCTCAGCCTCCCGAGTAGCTGGGATTACAGGCGCTCACCACCACACCTAATTTTTGTATTTTTAGTAGAGATAGAGTTTTACCATGCTGGCCAGGCTGGTCTTGAACTCTTGACCTCAGGTGATCCACCTGCCTCGGCCTCCCAGAGTGCTGGGGTTACAGGTGTGAGCCACCGGCCTCACATCCCACTGATTTTTAATTTTTGTGTAGAGACAGGGTCTAGCTGTGTTGCCCAGGCTGGTCTCATACTTATGGGCCTCAGCCTCCCAAAGCACTGTGATTACAGGCATGGCCACCACATCTGGCCAGGGTGTGCACAGCTTTGGGGCCGCTGTTCTCCCACCTACCAATCAGTGGAATTGAATCCAGAGTCCAGAAGTCAACTCAGGCATGGTGGCTCACACCTATAATCCCAGCACTTTGGGAAGGCGAGGCAGGCGGACTGCTTGAGGTTAGGAGTTCAAGACCAGCCTGGGCAACAGAGCGAGATCCCATCTCTACAAAAAAGTGTAAAGAAAGCAGCCAGGTGTGGTGCTCCCAGCTACTTGGGAGGCTGAGGGGAGAGGATCACTTGAGCCCAGGAGTTCAAGGCCGCAGTGAGCTGTTACTGACCCACTGCACTCCAGCCTGGGTGACAGAGTGAGACCCTGCCTCAATCAATCAATCAATCAAATAAAGAAGTAACCCCTGCTTTCTCCTTAGCAATTACTCCTGTGGAACGCAGGAGATGGAACTCGTTTGTTTGCTGCTGGCCTCTCTCCTGCATGGGAGGAGTGTGAGCCCCAGGGGGCACAGACTTGTGTTGTTTTCTGCTGTGTCCCTGATAAGGAAACTGAGGCCCAGTGGTGAGAAACTGGCATGAGGTGGCAGAGAACCAGGAGGGATCCTGGGCTCTCACCCCACCCACCAGGGTGTCTGGCCTCTCAGATAAGTGGGAGTCACTGAACGGAAGGGCCCCAAGAGGGCGGGGCAGTCAGACATAGGCCAGGCCAGCAGCAAATCAGCAGATTTATTGAGGCAGCAGCGGCAGTGGGGAGCAGGGCTGTGGGGAGGGTATGGGCCTACCCCGGGTCCATGGATGCAGGCCTTTCCCAGGCACGCAGTGTACACAGGAGGAAGATGCGCAGGAACCGTGCCATGGGCACGACGGTCAGCTGTGGTCAGTCTGTCCGCAGCCAGCAACCCTTTTCCTCCACCTCCTTGGTCACCACCAGCAGCACCTCACACAGGCCCTGGGCCAGCGCAGCCGCCAGGAAGGCCCTGGAGAAATGGGGATACTGAGGCTTGGCCAGCCGTGGCATTCCCTCTGGGGACTGGGGTTTCAGGTCGGAGCCCGTGGTCTTGGAATCACCTGTGCGGGGCTCACCTAACTCCATCCTCGTCCCCCAGGGCCTCGGGCGCCCGAAGCTTGGAGTCCAGGTTGTAGTAGACGCCGTCCACCTGGCGCAGGGCCACCCAGTGCCGCCGCCGCAGCGGCAACGACAGCAGCCCCAGCGACACGGGCGAGGGCAGGTTCAGGATCAGCCCCAGCACCTGGGGCAGGGCCAGCTGGGACAGGGGCCTGTGTGGGCAGGGGGGGACACTGTCATCAGGGCCTGCCCCGCCTACCTGCTGGTGAAATGTTGGGGAGCATGTGGGGCCCAGGCTGGTGGCGGTGGGGGGCCTCCTGAGCCCAGCCAGGGGTATTCCTTAATCAGTCACACTGCTTCCTGACACTCATCTGTTCACTGCCCACTCAAAAAAACCTCCCACCCACGCGGACTCCCAACCAGACCTCCCATCTACCCACCGCCCACCCAGCTCACATCTGTCCTTCACCAACCACCATCACCCTGTCTGTCCAGCCACCCACCCACCTTCTTCACTCCTCACACAGCCACCCAGGATCCACCCACGATCCGCCCACCCCACCGATCCCAGCCACCAGCCAACTTCCCAAAGACGATTCACACACTCACCCCCATCTATGCGCCCACTTTCCATCCCTCTCACACACCCGCCCCACCTCCCCGCCAGCCACCCACCACCATCACCATCCAGCTAGCCATCTACTGCTCCCCACCCACGCAGCCAGCCACCACCCAACAGCGGCCCCGCCACACCCCCCACTCCTCACCCACTCTGCCATCGGTCTACCCCTGATTCACCAGCCACTGGCCAGCCAGCCATCAAAACCTCCCATTCATCCACCCAACTCCCCAGCCTCCTGTCTGCTGTCCACTGCCCACGAACACCCATCCCTTCATACTTCCTCATCCAACACGTCCAACTGCCCACGAAGCATTCACCCAATAACCAGCATCCACCCAGCATCTCAGCCCATCAACCATCTGATCTCCCCCACCAACCAGTCAGCACCAGTCTTCCCACATCCATGCCCATCTCCCCCCGCCGCATTTCCCTCCCTGCCTCCCCCCAACAGGATTACACTACAGGGTGCCCTCAGTGCCCAGCCCAGCACATGCTGTGCTGCTCTGGGGCCTACCTCCTCCTGTCCCACCACACAGCAGCCAGGCCCAGCCCCTGCAGAGCGGCCATGATCACGTTGACGTCATAGTTGCCGGTGCCCAGGAGGCTGCGATGTGGGTTCAGCCGGGAGTCTGGGGCCAACCTGGTAGTGGGGGTGGCCAGAGCTTGGTTGGGGACCCTGGAAAGGCCACCCCACAAAATGGGGGTCCCAGGAGCCACAAGTTGCCTCGGCCTTTGACTCTCCCCGTTTCAGACCCTATAACTCATCCACCTTCAAGTCCCGTCTCTCCTGCCGACTCTGCCCTGTCCCCAAGGCCCCAGAAGGGCTTTGTCTCCTCCCCCAGCCCCCAGTCTCTCCCTCCAGTCCATTTCCCCCAGGCCCTGGGCCTCCCCTGCTCACAGGCCTTCCATGGCTCCCCAGCGCCTCTGGACAAAGTCCCCATCCCTTGGCCAGTCCCTTCCTCTGTCCGTCAAGACCCACCTCAGATGTCACAACCTCTGAGAGGAGCCTCCTGACCTCCAGGCTGGGTTAAGGCCCTCTCTGGGCTGCCCCAGTGAACTGACCACCTCAATGATGACAGCTGCCTGCATCGCCCTGACTGAACACTGCCTGCTCCTCCCATGGGACAGCCCCGCCATTCCCCTGCTCACAGCCCACTCTGCTGCCTCATTTTCCCCAGGACAGGGTCCCATGAGGTCCTGCGTGGTCTGGCCCTGGTGGCCTCACCTCAGAGCCTCAGCCCCCTCCTTCCTGGTCCCCCAACCCCAGCCACATCCCATGGGGCACCCCCTGCCCAGGAAGGCTCTTCTGCCGGCCAACACTTGCGTCTCTGGGCCCTGCCTCTGAACAGCTGCACATCTGTTCCCTATCTGGGCCCTGGGAGAGCAGGGCAGGGGAGGAAAAGGCTCCTGTGTGTGTTTCCCTCGCCTCCCTCAGGCCAGCACTCTGCGTGTATCAGTCATCTCAGGGTCTCCAGCATGGCTTTGGCATGAAAGAGCTGATGGGTCCTTGTTCTGAATGACAGAAATGAATATACCCCATAATAATCAGTCTGAGAGGCTGGGACTCTCAGGATATCCGGAAGCCGCAGGAGGCTTCGAGCAAGGGGCAGAGGAGGCAGGGCTATCTCCGGGTGTAGAAAGACCCTCTAGCGTCATGTGGGGACTCAGGGAGGGGACAGACTGGAGGTCACGGGCAGGCTGGGCAGCAGAGGGTCAGGCCTGAGCTAGGGCCAGGGACGTGGGGACAGAGAGGAGGGAGTGAGATGATAAAGGCTTATGTTTGTTTGAGACAGCGTCTTGCTTTGTTGCCTGGCTCACTGAAACCTGTCTCCCTGGTTAAAGCAATTCTTCAGAGTAGCTGGGACTACAGGTGTGTGCCACCATGCCCAGCTAATGTTTTTTGAATTTTTTAGTAGAGACAGGGTTTCACCCTGTTGGCCAGGGCAGTCTCAAACTCCTGACCTTAAGTGATCCACCCACCTTGGCCTCCCAAAGTGCTGGGATTCCAGGGGTGAGCCACCATGCCCGGCTAAAGAGTGATGTTTGACATGGTGAATAGTGAAGAGGAACATTCCAGGCTGGCAAGGAAGGCAGCCACGCCAGGCAGAAAGAAGCACTTGGAGGCCCAGAGGCCGCACAGTGGGGCCTCCAGGGGAGTGAAGTGAAGTCTGGTTTGAGGGGGTCCATGAGGGCTGAAGCTGCAGAGGCAGACTCGGCCTCTGCTATGAGGAGGGCCCTGAGCAGGGTGGGGCATGTTTAGGATGGACTGGAGAGCTGTGACAGGGCCCAGATAAGAGACCCTGAAGCGGGGTGAGCCTGTAATGACAGCTACTGGGGAGGCTGAGATGGGAGGATCACTTAAGCTTGGGAGCTGGAGGCCAGCCAAGCAGCACAGCAAGACGTCTCTAAAGAAACGAAAGAACCACCGGATTGAGGCCTGGCTGGGGCTGAAGCCACAGGGACAGACAGGCACAGGAGGCAACATCTCCCCAGTGTCTAGCTTAGGCAAGTGAGCGGGGTGGGGGCAGAAGAAAGCCCCCAGGTTCAGCGCCCGCCTGCTGCTCCAGGGGCTGGGGTGGGTGACGGTCACCTCTTGCAGATCTCATCGGCAGCCTCCTGGCTAAAGAGTTGCTGCTGCAGAACGTTGTTGAGGGCGTGGACGGCACACAGCTCCAGGCGCTGCCGTTCGTGGTACACAGAGGGCGGACTCGGCTGTGCTCCCGGGACCCGGGACATACCGTCCTTGGCTCCTGCTGGGGGTTGGGAAAGGGAGAAGGTCCTCAGGGGCCCGGGATCTAGAGGATCAACCTCCCAGCAGGCCTTTGGGGCATCGCCATTGATTGAGCTGAGGCTTGGGGCAGCCCGGGAGGACCCTGGGCCCCTGACCCCGCTCCCTGGCAGTCTCCTGGCAGTACACATCCCTCCATCCCCTACTCCTATTCCTACGAAAAAGGCTGTCTCTTCAGCTCCCTCAGCAACAGAGAACCACCCCCACCACGTCTCTAAGTAACAGGGTCCCTATCATGGTCACCTAGCAACAGAGGAACCCTCCTCCCCTGTCCCTAGGTAACTGGGGCGCTCTCTGGTTACCTAGCAACACGGCCCCCTTCCCACCACACTAGGTAACAGTCTGTCCTCCTCCGCTGTCTCTAGGTGATAGGGTCCCCTCTGGTCTCCTAGCAACAGAAGACTCCCTTCCCCGGTCAGGAAGCAGCGAGGCTCTCTGCTCTTGTCACTTGGCAACGGGGGCCCCCCTCCCCAGTCACTAAGCAACAGGAGTGCCTCTTCCCATCTCCCAGCAACCAGGCCCCGTCCCCGGACACCTAGGAATGGAGCCCTTCACCGACCCGCACCCCAACCATGGCGCTCGCCCTTTGCCTGGCAACGCCCCTCACCCCGCTAGCCTCCACTCCACCAAGCCGGGGGCTTCCGCATCCCCCTCCTGGGCGGCGGCTCTGAGCTCCCAGTGCGGGGCGGGCAGCACTGCGCTGACTGGGCAGGGGGGGCGGACTACAGCTCCCGGCGGTCCCCGCACGCCGGACTGCGACTCCCGTGGGTCCCCGAGGGACGCTTGCTCCACAAGGAGCGCCCAGGCCGCGTGGCCCTGAAGTCCGCTGTCGGGCCTAGAAAACGCCGCACTACAACTTTCCTCGGGCCCAGCAGCAAGTCCCGGAAATGCGCCTGAGAGGCCATTTCCTCGCGTACGGCCGCGCCCACTGCCGCGCAGAGCGTCTGGGAAATATAGTAGATAGGCTCTCGCGATAGCTTCCTGGAGCCGCGCTCTCGCGGGTGCTCGCCCCTTGTGATGGCGTCATGCGCGGTGCGCAGACGCAGCGTGACGTCACAGAAGGGAAACGGGGACCAGAGACGCAAGGCGGCGGAGGGGCGGGCCCCTGTGATCTTTACTGAGTCAGAAGGGAGATCCTGGGGAAGTGGGGCAGGGCAGGACTGGGATGGTGGTGGTGGGAGGCCAGTCAGATGATCTCGTCTCGGAGGGAGGAGGCTTCTCAGCAGAGATGGATCCCCGGCCTGGAGGGGAGCTGGCAGCAGGCTGCGGGGAGAGAGAGGAATGAGCTACTGAGAGAGGAGAGATGAGACAGACGCCTTGGGGAGGCAGTGGTGAGAGGAAGGGACAGGCCAGGGCGGCGGTGGACGAAGACCCCCGAGAAAGCAGGACAGAGCCCTGGGGGTGGACAAAGACACGCACACACACACACAGAGTCCCGGACAGAGGCGGGCACAGAGACTCAGAGAGGAGACGCAGACAGAGATGGAGACATCTACAGTGCCAGGATTCAAAGTCGTGGAGAGAGAAGGTTAAGGAAATAAAGGTCAGAAGTAAAGGTCAACAAGGACAGAACCAGAATTGCAGAACTAGCCAGAGCCTGGGACCCCACGCTCTGCAGACACAGGAGCCCAGGGCCGGGGGAGCGGGGTCTGGCCGCACCCAGGAGGCTCCGCCAGAAGGCCGTGACGGTGGCAGAGCCGGTGACCGCGCCTGGCTCTGCAGGGTTCTCTCTGTGGGTGTGCACAGCAAAGCTTCGGCCCGTGGGGCCCGGGGGTCCGCTCAGCTCCACATCCACCACGTGCATGTCCGTGAGGCTAGGGCAAGCAGGGCGGTCAGTCTGGTTACCCTGGACTTGGCCCAACCCCCTCCTCAGCTCTGCTCACCTGAGATCAGCCACAAGCACCCCAATCACCCCATCGAAGCCCAGGCTGGGGGCAGCCAGGGCAGCAGCCGCCATGGTGTTGGAGTTTCGGGGGGCAAAGGGACAGAGCCCACGGACAGGGCCTTCATAGAGCACAGTGCGACACCCGGTGCTGTGGGCTTCAGCCAGGGGTCCCTCCAGCCGGAAGCCATCAGGGTGTGTGGCCATGGTGACACGCAGGCTCTGGAAGCAAGAGCCCGGGTCAGGGGGAGCAGGGTCTTTGCAGGCCCCCTCCGGTTCCTATGGAGCCCAGCAGACCCGCACCTGGAGGCCCCCAGCTGCATCCAATCTCCTGATGTCCTCAGTGCCCCACAGAGCCCCTCGAGCCACAAACACGGCATGGTTCCAGTGGTTGGAGGCCTCCAAAAGCTGCCGCTCTGTGGTCTGGTCACCTAGGGCTGAGGGGGACCCCACCTGGGGTGCACAAAGGAGGGAGGGTTGAGGTCAGAGAAGGATCTCTACTTTAGGGTATGGTAAGACTAAGACACAAGGGGGAGGGCTCTGCGTGAATGGTTGGGGCGGGGCTTACCAGGAGATTGGCATGGCGCAGGATTTGTGCCCCAGATTCATGGATTATTTTGGGATGGGCCACTTCCACAACAAGATCAGGGTGCCTGGGAGAGGGGAAAGAGGGCAGAGGTTCTTGGGGAGGTATTAGGCCTCTTCTCCCCAAGATTCTCTCTTAGTCTACTGAGGGCTGCCCTCTTCTCCCTGGCCTGGGAGGCAAAATGCGATGAATGGGCTCATCCTGTTTCACATTTGCATGAACCAAGGCCCAGAGGGTCAGGGAGTCCCTGAGATCAATCACACAGCGGCTGACGGGGCCAGGACAGGACCTTCAGGGAGCTCCACTCTCCCATGGCAAGGTCACTGACCTTTCCCCAAGGGCAGCAAGGTTCTGGAGCTGTAGGGAAGGCGGCACGCTCCCTGCCATTCGTCCTGGGTCACGATTCCAGACGAAAACAAGTTCTAAGCCAAGCTCTGGTCCCTGAGCCAACAGGCGGGAGACTAGGGACTGTCCTGGGGAGAGGGAAAGGAGAGAACTAGAGACCCAGAGAGAAGGGGACAGAGTCCCAAAGAGAGGGGCACAGAGGCCCAGAGAGAAAGGAGGGGGGGACAGAGACTCAGAGAGAGGGGGACAGAGACCCAGAGAGAGGGGGACAGACCCAGAGAGAGGGCGACAGATACCCAGAGAGGAGGGGACAGAGACCTAGAGAGAGAAGGAGACAGATCCAGTGAGAAGGGGACAGAGACCCAGAGGGAGAGGAGGGGAGGAAAGAGACCCAGAGAGAGGGACAGAGACCCAGAGAGAAAGAAGTGGGGACAGATACCCGGAGAGAGAGAGAGAGTAGGTGAGGACAGAGACTCAGAGATCAGGGAGATAGAGACGGAGGCAGGGGCAGAGACCCAGTGGGGTAGACAGAGGGCCAGAGAGAAGGGGACAGATGGAGAAGAAGACAGAGACCCAGGGTGGGGTGTGGTGGGCAGACCCAGAGACACAGCCAGGGGCAGATAGAGACAGAGAGAAGTTGTGTTTGTGGAGGGCAGAGAGCCTTGGGGGCTTTAGGAATGGCCTGGGGAAGGAGGCCCAAGATGGTCAGGGACTCACCGAGGCGGCCGTAGCCCACCACGCCCACCCTCCGTGGGCCCCTGTTGGCCATGGCCCTGAGTGTGGTGGTCTGTGGCCTGGGCTCCCTGGACTGCTCGCTGCCCCCTGCACGAGGCTGGGCAGCTGCTGCTCTTTGGACATCTGACCCTTGAGCCTCTGGGCTCAGCCTTCTCCCTTCCCCGCAGACCCAGGGTGGGGGTGTGGGTCTGCTGGAGTGGAGGCAGGAGAAACCTTCCCTGCGCTCTGACCGCTTTCCTGGGCCTGGCGTGGTAAGCATGGTGACCGGGGGTTCTGGGAGCCCTGCGTGCCCCTCTTTCCCCGAAGCACACTCTCCTTGCTCTCTGCTGGTGTGGAAAATTTCCTCTGCAGTCCCCTGCCCCCATCTCTGGCCGGCCAGGTTGTCATGGAAACTGCATCTTGCTTTGGGTGGGGAGAAGAGATGGTGACAGGGATCTGGGCTCTGTCTGTCCCCTTGGGCTCAGCTCCCCTCCTCGTCCTCAAGCAGCCAAGGTCTGAGGGAAGCTTCAGCCTGGCTGTGCCCCCAGCCCTCCTGGAGGCAGCGGGAGCCCCGGTTGCGGCTTCTCCTCGAGGTGCCCTTGCCTCAGCGGGCCCAACCTCCTTAGCCCTGCAGCATGGGTCCCCTTCCTAAAGCCTCCACCCCTGTCCACAGCCTCCCTCGGTTCTGATCATCCTTCAGTTCACCTTGACTTGCTGCCTTTCACTCTGTCCCCCATCGTGCCACCAGCTGCCTTCCATGTGACATTCTCACTCCCACGTCCATCCCTCCTGCTCCCCAGCTCGCATCAGCCCAGGAGAAGCCTGTGAGGCCTGGAGAGGCCAAGCACCCCCACCGTGAGCCCCAGCCACTGTGCCTCGAGGGTGCCTGGCATCGGAAATGGCGCAGGCTGCGGCAGTGCGGGCTCCCTGCCCCCAGCCACCACCTGGTACCCGCTGCAGTGTTTCCATAGCAACCAGGATTGGCGCTGGAAGGAGGCTGGAGAGAAAGAGAGCATGAAAGGGATCATGGGGTGGGGGTGGGCACTGGGTGGCGAGAGCCCCAAGCCGACAGGCGCAGAGAGGAGACAGGCGCAGACAGAGGACCCGGGACCCCGACGTGGCGCCCAGAGGCCGCCGCTGCTGATAAGGGAGGAATTGGCTCTCAGAGCCAGGAGCCCCGGGTGTGGGGAGATAAGATGCCTAGGTGTAGAAAGCCAGGAAGGGGGCAGGGGCTGGGGGCCTCATGAGTGGAGGTCTCCGCCATCCCCACCTTCTGACTCCTCCTGGGGCATGTGTGTCCCACAGTGCCCACAGCTGCCATGTACAGGGTACAGGCTAGGCCCCCGTGAGGGGAGAAGGGGGCCGAGCTCGGGGCTGTGTCCCCAAGACCCCCTCAGCGCGGGAAGGCACTGGAAGGCCCAGTGTGGCTCTGGCACTCCCGCTGCCTCCCGCAGTGGTGTGAGATGGCAGCTCCGGCCAGCCCCAGCCTCCTGCGGCTGCAACTCAGACACTTTGATACCCCCACAGAGACATCATCACCCCATCTCCCCACCCACCCAATAGCTGCCCACTGTGCCAGCAGCCCCCCCGACTCCACCCACCGTTTGCTCCCTGCTCTCTGAGGGCTCTGTCCCTTACTTTCTGGGCGGCACTGTGGTGCCCCTTCCTCCCCAGGCCCACCCCATCCGTCCCTCCATCCTCCCACTGAACAAGCCAGAAATACAGCTCCTATGCCCCAGAGGCCGCAGCCCCAGCCTCCCTCTCCCCCACCCCACTCAGCCTCCCTTCCCTTCATCACCCCCTCCTCCAGAGCAGCCCTGAGGAGGTCTGCAGTGGAGACACATGCTCTGGATTAGGCCCTGTCATGAGCTGAACTGTCACCCCGAAAGGGAAGCGCAGAAATCCTGACCTCAGAACAGGACCTTATTTGGCAATTTGAGTTTTTGCCAAGGATGGAGCGGAGGTTATACTGGAGGTGGGGGCGCCTGGTCCAGTCTGATCTGTTCTTGTAAAAGGGGAAGTTAGGCAGGCCGTGGTGGCTCACACCTGTAATCCCAGCACTTTGGGAGGCCAAGGAAAGTGGATCACTTGAGGTTAGGAGTTCAAGACCAGCCTGGCCAACATGGCGAAACCCTGTCTCTACTAAAAATACAAAAATTAGCCAGGCATGGTGGTGGGCACTTGTAATCGCAGCTACTTGGGAGGCTGAGGCAGAAGATTCAGTTGAACTTGGGAGGCAGAAGTTGCAGTGAGCCGAGATCATATTGCTGCACTCCAGCCTGGGCCACAGAGCAAGACTCTGTCTCAAAAAAAAAAAAAAACAAAAAACACAGAGTTGGACACGGATGCATACAGAGGGAAGAGTTAGAAGGCTACAAGGACAGGCCTGGAAAACTGGGGTGATGTGATCCAGGCACCAGCCGGGACAGCCTGGGGTCACCAGCAGCTGGCGAAGCAGGAAGCTCTCCCCCACCCCAACCAGAGGCCTGCAGGTTTCAGAGAGCATGGCCCTCCCGGCCCCTCGATCCCTGCCGGCCTCCAGGACTGTGGGGCGGCAGATTTCCTTTGTTCTACGCCTCTGCCTTAGATTCGGCTGTGGTGTGGCAGTGCTGGGGTGAGGGGAAGGAATCAGACCTTCCCTGGGGTCTCCAGGGTGAAGGCTAAGGGGCCTAAGACCACCAGGAGGTGCCCCGCGCCCACCCTGCTGGCGGGCCTTCAGGGTGGTTCTCCGCCTCTCCTCCGCCCCCACCCACGTTCACCTTGTTTTCTCTCCTCTGTGCTTTCATGACCAAAAAAAATATTTTTTTTACTTTTTCCATGTTTTTTTTTTTTTAAAGTAATTACAGAGCAGGTAGTCATTGACGCAAACCTCCCTTCAGTATCAAAAGTGTCTGTGGGGCAGGTGGGGCTGGGGCGGGTGGAGGCTGCCACCCCCACCCCGCCCACGACAGGGACTGCCGGCCAGGAAGGACAGGCCAGGGTGCAGGAGCTCTGGCGACACGTCCGTCTCTTCAGTTTCGAAGGGCGGAAGGGTGGGAGGGAGGGATGGGCGTCAAACTGCAAAAACAACCGTAAAAGGAGGGTGTCTGGGGCCAAGGGGAAAGGGCACGCCTGGAAAAATCTCCTCTCTCCCCTGGAAGGCGGCGGGCCGGGAACAGTCGGGAGAGCCAGGAGGAAGTGAGGAGAACCCGGGCCACTTCTGGATCCCATGTCCCCTCCCGTCACCAGGGATCGGTGGGGTGTGAGGTGAGGACCCCCGGAGACTCTGCTTCTGGAGCCCCACCCTGTCCTCACTGGGAGTCCGTGCCCCAGATGAGGCTGGAAGCCACCTCTCCCCAATTCCCTGCGTGGTCCCAGAAGGTGGGCTGGGCTGTGGGAAGGAGGGGTCCTGGTGGGGCTGGGACCAGGGTGGGGGGCTCCGCGCCCCTCGCCCATCTGGCCCTGCAGCCTCAGATCTGCGTCTCTTGCACGTTCTCCTTGGAGCCGCTCTTGAAGAGCAGAGGTTCGTGGATGGAGTTGAGGCCGGGCGGGCCCTTCCCCCCGCAGCCCCCGCCGCTGGGGTTGCTGCTGTAGTGCGCCTTGAAGGCTGCAGCCACATAGTGGTGGTGGTTGAGGTGGTCTCGCTCCAGGGCGGGCAGGGCCAGGTGGCTGTCCCCGCCCACGCCACCCCCACCGGCCACGGCGGCCGCGGCGGCCACGGACACAGCCGAGGCGGCGGGCAGCTCGTCCTCCACGTTGATGATCTCCACGGTGCGCGTGGGCCCGTGGTGCTTGTGGAGCTGGTGCTGCTTGCGCAGCTTGTAGAAGGCCACCAGCATCACCGCGGCCATGAATGTGATGGCCACGAAGCAGCCGATGATGATCTTGGTGGTCTTCATGACGTCGTCCAGGTCCTTGAGGGCGTTCTCCGTCACATCCGTGATGGGCACCGTGAACGCCTTCTCCGTGGGCCGCGAGGAGCGCGGGGCCGGTGCCGTGGTTGACGACGAGGCCGGGCCGGCCGCGTCCCCCGGCCGGCCCCCGCCCCAGACACCGTCCGTCGTGGGCCCTGGCGGTTCCTTCTCCGTTCCCCGCGGCTGCAGGGCCTCCTCTCCAGGCTGCGTCTCCAGGGTCTCCACGGTCACCGTGGTGAAGTAGGTGTAGCCGCCACTGCCCCCTCCGACACCACCACCGCCCCCAGGGCCGCCCCCGCCGGTGCCCCCGGCTGCCATGGGGTCCACGGCCGAGACGTTGAGCGTGGCCGAGGCGGTGGTGTTGCCGGCCGAGTTCGTCACCATGCACGTGTACTGGCCCGTGTCCTGCACGGTGACGTTGGTGAAGTTGAGCGTGCCGTCATGCAGGACGGAGATGCGCACGCGGTAGGAGCCGTGGGTCATGAGGGTGCCATTGGGCGTCAGCCAGTTGACGGAGGTCATGGAGGTGCCCGTGCGGCATTTGAGCTCAGCGGCCATGCCCTCGGTGACGTTGAGGTCCGTGGGCGGCTCCACGATGACGGGCGCGTAGCAGGTGAAGTGCGACTGGTCCAGCTCCCCGATGTAGCGACCCTTGAGGCCGGCGGGCGCGTGGCAGCGCGCGCAGCACGTGGTGTTGCTGGGCACCGTCTCCTTGAGCCACCAGCTCAGCCAGAGCACGTCGCAGTTGCAGTGCCAGGGGTTGTGGTTGAGGTGCACACGCTCGAGGCGGTGCAGGGGCGTGAAGAGGTCGTGGGGCAGCGACATCAGGTTGTTGTGGGACAGGTTGAGCTCCTCCAGCGACTTGAGGTCGTCGAAGGCGTTGCGCTCGATGGTGGCCACCTGGGCGTGCATGAGCCACAGCTTGCGCAGGCTGGTGAGACCCTGGAAGGAGCCCGGGCGGATCAGGTCCAGCCGGTTGCCCGACAGCTCCAGCTCCTCCAGGCGCACCAGGGCCGTCAGGTTGGGGATGTCCTTGAGGTTGCACATGCCCAGGTTGAGGTAGCGCAGGTTGACCAGCCCCTCGAAGGCCGCCTCGGAGATGTACTCCAGCCGCTTGAGCTCGCCCAGGTCCAGGCGCCGCAGCGAGGGCACACGGTTGAAGGCGTAAGAGGGGATGCTCTCGATGGGGTTGTTGCGCAGCCAGAGCTCCCGCAGCTTAGACAGGTACTCGAAGGCCTGCGTGGGCACCGTGGTCAGCCGGTTGTCAAACAGCTCCAGCGTGTTGAGGCTGGGCAGCCCGTTGAAGGCGCCCACCTCGATCTTGCGCACTAGGTTCTTGCTCAGCTGCAGAATCTCCAGGTGCCGCAGGTGCTTGAACGTGTCCGTCCGGATCACCTGGAGACAGGGAGACATGGATCAGTCATGGAGATACTGATGGGGACCATGGGGGATCGCCAAGATCCCAGGCGCGGGTGGAGTCAGGTGGCCGGATCTCCCATGCTGTGCTGCTGGGAGCAGGAGACGGTGTGACCACATTGCAACATGGTTTGATGAGTTTCTTATAAAGTGAAAGCTGGAGTCAAGGTTGGGCGCGGTGGCTCACGCCTGTGATCCCAGCACTTTGGGAGGCCGAGGTAGGTGGATCACCTGAGGTCAGGAGTTCAATACCAGGCTGACCAATATGGTGAAACCCTGTCTCTACTAAAAACATAAAAATGAGCCAGGTGTGGTGGCGCCTGCCTGTAATCCTGGGAGCTACTCAGGAGGCGGAGGCTGCAGTTAATCGAGATAAGTGTCACTTCACTCCAGCCTGGGCAACAGAGCAAGACTCCGTGTAAAAACAAACAAAAAAACTGGATTCAAGAATTTTAGGGGGCTGGGCACAGGGGTGGCTCATGCCTGTAATCCCAGCAATTTGCAAGGCCGAAATGAGTAGATCACTGGAGCCCAGGAAATCAAGATCAGCCTGGGTAACATAGCATAGACTTTATCTATACAAAAATAAAAATAAAAAAATTAGCCAGGTGCGGTGGCACATGCCTGCTGTACCAGCTACTAGGGAGGCTGAGGTGGGAGGACTGTGGGAGCCTGGAAAGTGAAGGCTGCAGTGAGCCAGGATCATGCCACTGCACTCCAGCCTGGGTGGTCAACGAAGTAAAACTCTTA